ACTATTTCATTTAATAAATGTTTTGATATACAAGTTGTTCGGGTTTTTTCATCTAAAAGAAAAGCAACATTTATTTCTGGAAGTTTAGATCCCGACTTGTTCTTCAGCAAACACTATTTGTTTATTAATGATTAATGGTTGTATTTAAGTAGTTTTGACATTAGTGCATTTAAGAAGGGATTATTTTAGACTTCCACTTGTTTTCTCGGAACATATAAAAAATAGAGATGACTTGATTTAGAGAAGACGTGATATTAATAGCTTTGCTAGTTATGCTAATACAGAAGTTGAAAATAAGCATTGTTTCTTATGAACTGATGCAAATGATATTATTGAAGAAAATACTTTTTTTAGATGTAATTTGTAATGATAATATTGAGGAGGATTATTTGTAGAGTTAATAGAAACTGTGTTTTCCATTTCACTAAACTGGCTTTCAGAAAATGCAAGTATATTAATGAAGCATTCAATAACTTTATTAATTCAATCAACTGAAAAGGAATATAAATTTAGTTTCCCACCTTAAAGTCCATTTCTAGGTGGATCGATATTGGAATACAATTATTAATAAAAGAAAATGGTAAGCTTGGAAGAATATTAAATCTTGTTAATAGAATAAGATATGAAGTGAAGAAAGCCACCATTAAGGTAAGAGGAATTATGAAAACGTAAAATTCAGCTTGTAGGGTTTTTAATCTTATGTTAAAACTAAAAACAGAGAATCAAAATAAGAATGGTTCATAAGGAAATTCCAATGGGATGTTTTTCATTATGTAAAGGAACAAACATGGTTGAAGTGCTAAAAATATTTATCTGATGAATGAGAAGAAGAGATTCCTAAGATGAATAAATTTTTCAAAATTCTATTTCTTTTGGGACATAAGGTATTTCAGAAAATCTTGGAAACCTCTTAGGTCCAGATGGTATCTTAAGAAACCTTGATGAAACTTAGCAAAGAATTAGTACAAGATCAGGAAAATGCCATTTGTCAAAAGTCTTTTTGACAATGAGGAAATTCCTTGTAATTGGAAGATAGCCAGTGTGATTCTTGTTGTTGAGAAGAAAGGGTAGAGAGAGGATTTGGGAAATTATAGGCCTGTTGTGTGACTATAACTATAAATGTGTTGAAATCTTTCATTGGAGAAGATCTGAAAAAACATCTAATTACTGGCTCTCGGTATGGTTGCCGAAAAGGGTTTTCTTGGTTTATTAACTCCTTGTAGCTTCTTGATAAGGCTTTTACTTTTTAGGTTGAGGAACCTCATTTGATGTTATACATCTGTACTTTCTGAATACCTTTAATAGGGTGGTGTATGAGAGGCTAATTATTAAGTTATGCATTTCAAAATTTGGTGGAAATTGGTATCAAACTTGTCTTGTTGGTAAGAACGAATGAACGATGATAAAAGACACTTTTTCTGATCGTGATTTGTGTAGTCCATCAAGAGGTTTGCTTTAAACTTTGGTTTTGTTATTCATGTCAGTGATTTTGATGCCTTCTAAACAGTTCTAAGCTGTTCCATTTAAGAGATGGAAGAAAGATGTTGTAAACAAAATAATTTAAATATTAAAGGTTATAGGCTTAAGCTTTGGAAGTGCAGAAAGCTGTGGAGTTTATTATTAAACTGGGTAATGGTTTATTTAGTTATATGGTGTTTGTGTTGTTAAACTGAGGAGTGATTTACTTGATTATATGTTGTATGTTCTTAAA